TTTTTTGAGACAAGTCTTGCTCTTGTTGCCCAGGCTTGAGTGCAATGGTGCCATCTCGGCTCACTGCAATCTCCGCCTGCTGGGTTCAGGTGATTCTCCTGCCTCAGCCTCCCAAGTAGCTGGGATTACAGCGATGCGCCACCACGCCTGGCTAATTTTGTATTGTTAGTAGAGACGGAGTTTCTCCATGTTGGTCAGGCTGGTCTCCAACTCCCGACCTCAGGTGATCTGCCTGCCTCGGCCTCCTAAAGTGCTGGAATTACAAATGTGAGCCACCGGGCTCAGCCTCTACTTGCCCTTTTTAACCTGACATCACACTTGGCCACCTATCCGTGCCTGTGCGTGCAGACATGCAGGGGTTACTGTCCTCCTCCTGCAGCGGGGAGTAAGCTGGCTTAGGGAAGTTTAGTGGCTTCTCCAGAGTGTTAGGCAGGAGAATCTTGCATCACAAATAGCTCCACAGCGTTAACTGAAGTAGAATCCTCAGGGGAGAAGCCTGGCTTGCAGACAGGCCTGTTTGCATTTGTGGGTTTAAAGATGTTAAATGTAATTGACCACCTTCCTGAGGAATGATTATTTTGGGCTCAGAGATTCAGACAGCATAGTGCCTGCCCTTGGAGTGGTGACCTTCCTTCCCTAGGACGGAAGGGGAGGATAAAAGCAAATTCATAACCTAGGTACACGATGATTGGTGCTAATCCCTGGCGTGTTTTCAGTTTTGAAGTAAATTGTGGAGCAAGGAGCGCTTTTTCAGACAATCGGCTTCTGGTTTCCTAGGGGCAGTCAGGAGAGGGGTCCCAGGGTTGGAGCTGAGGGGCAGAAGGGCAAAAGGAGGAGACCTTGGGTTCTGAAAACTCCTCTCTTGGCGTGGTGGTACTCGCCTGTAATCCCAGTTACTGGAAAGGCTGAGGCAGGAGAATTGCTTGAACCCGGGAGGTAGAGATTGCAGTGAGCTGAGATCGTGCCACTGCACTCCAGCCTGGGTGACAGAGTGAGACTCCGTCTCAAAAACAAAACAAAACAAAACAACCTCCTGTCTTATAGGAGATACTCCATTATAAAATGATTTCTGGCCCCCTGTCCTGGGGATGCCACCTCCTACTCCTTCTGTCTACTTGAAGTGAATAGCCAGGGACTCATCGCCTCGTTGGGCGAGAGGATGGGTGAGGTGCATTGTAAGGATGGACTAGGCCCTCCCACCTTCCCCAGGAACTTTAAAACCTGGAGACATCAGGGCCTGATCCTCTCCGGTTTCCGCTGGAGCTCGGAAGGGATTTAGCAGGGTGGAGGGCGGGGCAGATTCTTTCTGTCCTTGAGCTGCCTTTCCACAAAGTACATTTAAGTCCCTCCCTCTTCAGTTTCCCTGTAATAACAGCCAGGAAGGTTACAAATGTCTTGCCACGTGGCAGCTGTAGACACTGAGGCTTATGGAGGCTGGAGTGACTTGGAGGTTATATGACTGGACCAGCCGGAACAGAAACCCAGGTTTTTCTTCATTACTGAGGGAGAAACCTGCCGGCTCGCCTGCTCTGCTTCTGTGGGTTTTTTTCTTTTTGAGACAGAGTCTCGATCTGTCACCCACGCTGCAGTGCAGTGGTGCAATCTCGGCTCACTTCAACCTCCGCCTCCTGGGTTCAAGCGATTCTCCTGTCTCAGCCTCCCGAGTAGCTAGGATTACAGGCGCGTGCCACCACACCTGGCTAATTTTTTGTATTTTTAGTAGAGATGAGTTTTCATCGTGTTAGCCAGGATGGTCTTGATCTCCTGACCTCGTGATCCACCCGCCTTGGCCTCACAAAGTGCTGGGATTACAGGCGTGAGCCACCATGCCTGGCCTGCTCTGCTTCTTTCATGTACATGTTGCAAGGTTCTCATTCATTCGTTCGTTCATTGACTCACTCACCAAAGATTTACGGAGTTACTGTTGACGCACTGTCTAGGGCCCTGGGGACTCAGCAGAAACAAGATAGAGAAGGTCCCCATCCTCGCAGGGCTTCCATTCTGGTGATGGAGAGAGAGAAATAACTAGGCCATTACAACAGAGGGTGAGAAATGGCGTGCTCTGGAGCAGCGGTTGCTTCGCCCTGCATGCGGTCAGAAACAGGTATGGGACTTGAAAGCCAGGCATCTAGGCCCCACACTCAGGTCTGGGCTGGGGCTAGAGTTTGTGAATCTTTTACGAGTTCTCACATGATTCTGATGCACACCAGCTTAAGAACCACTGCTGAGGGAAGAAGCTATGATAAGAATAGCTCTCATTCTTTTTCTTTCTTTTTTTTTTTTTTCCAGACAGGGTCTCCCTCTGTCACCCAGGCTGGAGTGCAGTGCTCCCTCTGTTGCCCAGGCTGGAATGCAGTGGTGCGATCTTGGCTCACTGCAACCTTTGCCTCCCAGGTTCAAGTGATTCTCCTGACTCAGCCTCCCAAGTAGCTG